GGCCCCCCCATCAGCATATGGCATGGCATTGTCCTTGTCCTCTGAGCCAGAAGTGATGCAATTTGTTGGCATGTCCTGTCATTTCTCACAAACGACCAGGATCCCAGTGAGGCCTTCAGGAAACAACAGGAGACAAACATGGAAGGGCAGCCAACGGCTCGCCTCCTACCAGCGTCCTGCCAAACTCGGCCAGGAGGGAGCGCAACGCTGACACACTCTCACACTGGACAATTATTCCTGTGGTCTGTTCGATCACAGTCATCACAAACCTGACTTTTCTTTTTGTCTTTACGATCTTTGTTTTGAAGAACGTCCAAACCAGACTGACCTTCATTTATGTCCAACATTATTGTCAGTGTGGGAATGACCTGCCGACCTGAGGACGGGTCCACACCGTCAGCGATTCTGGTCCCTTTTCCACCACCACCTGACTCTGAGCGGCCCACTCACTAATGAACTCCCACGGCCCAGACCTGGGCAGGAGATAAAACCTTCAAAGAACCCCCTCCACCTCCCACTGTGGGTGAGTCTCCTCACACTTGACCTCACCTTCTGTGGGGAAAGACACGGGGGGATCAGGACGCACGGTCAAAGAGGATTTCCCTGCAGGGAGTGGACCATGATGCTGCTGCTGCTGCTGCTGCTGCTGCTGCTGCTGAGTCATAACCCCCTCTGTCTGTGTGTAAACTCAGAGTCATGACCAATGAAAACCGAGTTCTTTCCTTATAAGGCGTCGTCTGAGTGAATCCTCGGAAACAGGAAGTAACTGCGGTGACATCTTCCTGTCAGTCAGATGATGTCATCGATGGAACCTGCAGTGTACAGTAAAAAGAAAAAAAAAAGAGGCCAAATGACCTCAGTGACCTCTGTGACCTCAGCTTCTCCACTCAGACACAACACAGCAACACAGCACCTCGTGATGGCGCCCTCCTCCTGCCAGGGGCCGTAACTTCCATCACTGTTATCTTTATTTGTTTATTTGTCCTCGGCCAAGTTTTGTCTCTTTTTCTGGACACGTCTCTCGTTTCATTTTTCACTAGAACCCAGTTCGCAGTCATCGGCATTTCCTGCACAGCGCAGCTCACAGTCGCCTCCTGCAGGAGCTCTGAGGGTAACGGGAGGTTATGACCATTTCTCACCGCGACCAAAACGCCAAGTAAGGCATGTTTTGGGTGATTTTTGAAATATTCATATAAAATATTTTTTGGAGTTTTAAACACAAAATAATCACTTGGCAGCATGTTTT